ACGGCGCGAGCGGGGACGCGGCTGAGCGCCCCGGCCCCGGCCCCGGCCTCGCGCGCTCCGCCCCGCGCCTTGCGGGTAAGGCTGCACCTTTCAGACAGGGAGGGGGGCGAGGAGGGGGTGCCCGCCCCGCCCCGCCCCAAACCAGCGCCCAGCCTAGGGCCAGACAAGGACACGCTGGAGGCAGGCCGAAGAGCAGCGGGCTCCGGTCGCAGCAAGGGAAGTTTAAGTCGGATATCAGGGGAAAAGAAAAAAGACTCTCACCAGGAGGGTGGTGAAGCACCGGGACAGGCAACCCAGAGAGGTGGTGAACCTCCATCCTTTTAGGAGGTTTTTAAGACCCGGCTAGGCAAAGCTTTGTCTGGGATGGTGTAGCTTGGGGTGGTCCTGCTTTCAGCAGGGGGGTGGACTACACGGGCGTTTCTCAACCCATGGGTCGTGACCCAAAAGTGGGTGACTAAAACATACGAAAGGGTCACAAGCAAGCTTTAAAAATGAATTGACAAACTTTCAAAATGGACTCTCCTTTAAAGGAGAAAAACATGGGAAAGGGTGGCTTTTCCTTTTCAGGCTGTGAGAGATTCCAGCCTGCAAGGCGCTGCAGGTCAGGACTGGCCGTCAGTGTTGTTTAAAAAGGGTCTGAGGTCCAAAAAAGTTGAGAACCACTGAACGAGACGACTTCCTGAGGTCCCTACCCAGCCTCGTTTTCTGTGATTCTCAGATGCAGAAAACATACGCCAACTTCAAGTGTTGGGAGGATTTGGCTGCTGCCCAACTCCAATGGCACCACAGACTCAACCAAGTGTCAGCCCATGTCAAGGTAAAGCATCTTGCTCTTGAAGCAGGGGAAGGAAAAGGAGAGGAACCCCAGCATGCAGCCTAGTCTCTCCTGCGAAAAGGCCTTCAACTTTGGGTTGAATCTGTAGCTCAGGGATTGGACTCTTAAATTATCTCAAGGCCCTTGAATGAGCCATGCAAGACATTGTCCTCAGATCAAGGGATTGCCAATGACAAATATATATATTAGAATAATTGTGGGCAGATGGTGACATGCAGCATCACATATGAAACGATACATATTTTTCTCCAGTTAAAAAGAAACAAAGTTTTACTAATATGCCTGGGGCTTAGGGTGGACTTTTGCTTCAATCTTAAACTGCATAAACAAATATAACTTCACTGGAATCTGCAGGGCAGTGAACTAGGAGCTTCATTACCAACCAAGAGACAGCAGAATTGTAGAACAAAGGATAGCTTGATTGGCAGAACATCAAGACCATTAAAAAGAAGAGGGTGGTTAACACCTGTAGAAGGGAATCAGGTAGACTCTAATGAGCGGTGAAGTCAATTGATTCCCTTGTCACTGCCCAACTAGAAATGCTGCTGCCACTGCCAGGCACATTGAAAATAAACATGGAAAAAAAATGAAAATGTTGGAATACAACTTGCCTCCCTGCCCCCATTTTAACTGACTTTACAACTGACTGTAGTGTAAGACTCATATTGGATCTGTGATGGGCCAGAAATTGTGAGGGCCAAGGATTTCTTAGAGTAATATATTTTTTTGGACCTACTGCATAATTGGGATAGAGTTAGACAAACTTTCAAATACAAGGCAGTGGATCATGTTTTTCAAAGTTCAGAAGGAAAAAGGTGTGCGCTTTTTCTTCTCCAGCTCCACATTAGTCTGTTGAGATGTTGTGCAACTTGTGAGCACTGCCAAGGCACAGTGGCCTTCTGCCTGGTTGTTTCAATGCACAAAATACAGTCCAAGTCAAGGCTTAGTCTTAAATCACCATGATTTCCACTGACTATCATTAGCCATGTAAGTAAAATGACCATACATCCTGGTTTGGCCAGGACAGTCCTGGATTTTGTAGGCTGTCCCAGCATCCCAGACAGTTGGTATAAACTCAGAGAAAAGTCCTGGAATCAGCTGCTGCAGGCAGAAGCAGGTGGGCAGGGAAGCAGGGCACAGTCTGGAAGGAAGGCAGAGCAACATGGTGCACCAGGTAGGTGGACAGGCAGTCACCGCAGGTCAGAACAAGGTGGGCAGACTAGAGCGGTACCAAGCCCAACCCACCTGCTGCCTCCAGCTGCTGCTCAGGAGGAGCTGGGCCAGACATGTACAGGCAGGGTGGCACGTGCTCCAGTCAATCCATCTTGCTCCCACCTTCAGCAGCGGTGCCTGCCCACCCAACTGCCTGGCACACCATACCAGTCTGCCTCCCTGCCAGACTGCACCCTGCACCCATGCCCACCAGCCTCTGCCTGCAGCAGTGCTGCTGACTTGGGGGAGAAGAGGGGACAGTGTGCTGGATTTCCTTAAAAATAATATGGTCACCCAACCTATAAATAACAGAGGAGGCAAACTCAGTCACAGCTTCAGATCCTTTTATACCAGCATGGTTTTTTCACACAGGAGCAGCTCAAAGGTTTCAGTGACCTGACCGTGTACTCATTGAAATCAACAAAATGTGCTCATAGAAGCAGCACTCTGTAGATCTCAGCACTCTGCAAAATGGATAGTTCATTCCCAAACAAATTCTAGTTTGTGGGAGTCCTTTACTTGCCAGGCAAAGCCATCAGCTCAATCCATTCATATTCTGTTCTAGTGTGTATTATGCCTGTTTTGATATGTGCTCACCTTTTCTTATAAATTAAAATATAAAAGCCTTGAAAAATTAAATATTCTTACTAACAAAGCAAGGAATCCCTGCGTCAGGCTTCTCAGCATCCAGGTTCCTCAGTCTCTAAGTTGGCATCTGGTTTCCTGCCTTTAGCCTTCAAAAATGAAACAAAAAGAAAAGAAACTATTTTATTATAGAAATTTGAGTAATCATGACCAGGCTTTTACAATTATGTGTTTTCAACCAGCTTGGATTCAAAACCATAAAAGGATTCTACAAGTATTAGTGTATAGCACTGAAATAATATATCATATCAGCTCATTTCCATCTCAGACAAATCTCACCGAAATCCAGAACTATTTGGCTGTACCCTCCTCTCATAGAAAAACAATATGAAGGTTACTCCAGTTCTGAGTTTGAAGAAGTGGCCATACATTATCACCACAGCAAAACAGCATCTCTCTTCTGCTCCAGAAAGGGTTGCCAACACACAGAAGCAGCCCTTCAACCTGTCGCTTAGGCCCTAGGGGAAGCATCTGTGACCTATGCGTTACACTCTTTCATGTTGCCCGACAGAAAACCCAACAACATTTTATGTGTTCTTTCCTAGAGAAAGTGCAAGTGTTTAGTAATTTCTTACATTATGACTACAACCAAGTTTTAACTGTACCCAAACAATATAGAAAATAAAGGCAAATGTTGACTGTATTTAAAAATACAGTATTTACTCAAATTGAAGTCAACCCTGAATTTAATGACCCTTCAATAATTAGATTCTATATATGGAAAAATTATAAGTTTATTATAATTTTCCAGGTATAGAATATAATTATCAAAGGGTTGTCTTTTTATTTATCCCCCCTCCCACTGCTACAGCAAGGAAAATAATGGCTGGTGGGGGGCAAGTAGCCCCCTTGCTCTCTGCCTCCCCTCCCTCTTCCTCCTGCAGCTTTCCTGCCCTCCCACCCACATAGCCTCTGCAGCTTTCCTATTCCCTACGTGGCTGCCCCTTTCCTCCTGCTCCATGCAGTCTCTGCCTCTTCCCCCACACCACCCCCTTACTGTCATATGCTGCAGAGGCTCTGCTCTCTCTCCGAGCACAGCAAGTGGAAGCTCAGCCCTTGCCAAGCCATGCAAGCAGTATCACTGATGCTGACTGACCAGGCAGGCAACAGAGTTTGCAGGCAGTATGGTAGCAAGAAAGTTTGGCAGCTGGGTCAAGCCCACAGTGGCAGCCTGCCCTTGCCCTGTGCACAGATCCCCATGCTTGCCTGGGAGTGCACGCAGAGGTGGGAGCTGCCCTCCTCACATCCCCCGCCCCAACTAACTGCTCGCAGGACCATCCCACACCCTGCCCCAGCTGGGCAGTACCAGTTGGTGCCCCTTTGCTTCAGCACCTGGGGCGATCACCTCGCTTGCCCCCTCCTTTGCTATGGTACTGTTTCCACATGCTCCCTGCCTGGGAGGGAACCCAGCCTGAAATGGAGCTAAGGTGTGCCAGACAGTAAAGAGAGAAAAGGGCAGGTAAGGGGCATAAGATGCAGAAGCAAGTGGAGGGTGAGGGGTAGGAGGCTGCTCTTGGTCTGACTCTGACCTCAACTTGGGCTCAGGACCACAGTCAGTCACACCAGTTGCCTGCCCCCCACCCCCCTCCACTTTGTATGCAAATTTAAGATGAGGGGCTTCCCTATGCTGACTGGAGGAAAAAGTGTGTCTTAGGTTTGAGTAAATACAGTAATCATTATGTCAAAAGCACCACAGAAAAAAGTGAATGTGAATTTGATTCTCTACTAATTTTCACCAGTTTAAGCCTAAAATAATTCTACTGACTATTGAACTTACACTGGTGTAGAGATTGTATTAGAATGCAATATATAAAGTACAGTGTAGGAGTTGAAAGATGTTCTAAATGAAGCATTTTTAAACATATTAATGTATTTCTTGGTCTGTGTGTTTCTGATTATACTGAAACCACATCTAATATAACATCTTTGCACTGATAGTATGAAACTAGATTTCCCAGACTTGTTCAAAAGTGGCTTGTGGCATTAATGGTATGTCCACAGTCAACTTCTTTGTCTCTCTAACTTCTCCTCAGACTCAGTATCGTATTTTCTATTTACACTTTCATAGTTTCATAGTTTCTAGGATTGGAAGGGACCTGAGCAGATCATCTAGTCCGACCCCCCTGCCATGGCAGGAAAGAGAACTGGGGTCAAACGACCCCAGTAAGGTGGTCATCCAACCAGTAAGGTGGTCATCCAACCACTTAAAATACCTCACCTCCATCTAAAATGATTGAAAA